AATTAACGTTAATTGATACTGCGGCTTATAATCCGGTGCGGCTTTTGGTCGTGAAAATACGGTACTTACTTCCTTTTGCCTTGTACTTATTTGCTAGTTAGTTAAGAGCCGTGGTGGCACAGTGGTTAGAATGCACTATTGCAGCCGGTTAGAATCGATTCCTTCAATCCTAACCGGCTCAAGGTTGACTCAGCCTTCCATCCTTCTGAGGTCCCAGATTGTTGGAGGCAATATGCTGATTCTGTAAGCTACTTAGAGAGTGCAGTAAAGTACCGTGAAGCGGTATATAAGTTTAAGGGCTAGTACTAGTTCAGGTCTGGCCTACATTATAGATTGGCTCCATTAGAAAGCATGGATGTAAAAGAACTTCGTTGTGCCAAGATCACTTTTTTGTGTTTGTTACCATAATTTTCTGTTAGAGATATTAAAAGAAGACCTTTCGACCTTTGATCAGGTCTTGACAAGTTCCTGCTTTTTGCCCGAAGGATGGACATCCGTCGTATCAGCTTCGACACAGAAGACCTGTCTGATGTTGTCATCCCCTTGGCAGATGTGCGCAGTGCTGTGGCTCTGGACTGGGATGCACAGGGTGACTATGTCTACTGGACAGATGTTAGCACTGATTCCATTAGTCGGGCAAAATGGAACGGAACAGGCCAGGAGGTAATATCCCACAGAAATTCAGTGGAAGCATATAAGTTGCTTGTCTTGTGTTTGTTTTGTTACACCCATTTTGGCTCATTATAACTATCTAATCTTTCAATTCTGTTTTTTTTCAACTATTTGAGGAATATATTCCATGCATATATCTTAAAGTGGATTAATTCCAGATCTTTATTTAAACAACTGAACATTCATAGTTCAAGAAAGGTCAGTGTTTCTGATTAGAACAATATTTCCCTCAAAGTTTCATTGTGTTTGTTTTGTTGCTAGATTGTGGTGGAAAGCAGTCTTGAAAGCCCAGCTGGTCTTGCTGTTGATTGGGTCACAAACAAGTTGTACTGGACAGATGCAGGTACTGAAGGCCACTGCCATATTGGCAAAAGAGTTCCTTTGCTACTCTAAAACCTAACCACTCACTGAAAAATTGCCTTCCAAATTCTTAGCAGGATTATTCCCAATGCATCTATTGAGATATATGAATGAGACTCTTTCAAACGTTATGATCATGATGATTTTAATAACATTTCACCTTCCTGTAAAGAGTGGCCAGGTTGCAAAGAAATTCTGGGAGTAAGAACTCATTTTATGTCATTTTTAAAAAGGAGTGCTCCAAAATAGGAAAATCTCTAGTATATCAATTTATTCCTGTAGAAATGTCCCTGCATGCCACTTTATTTAAAATGTTTCAGTTACACATTTTACTAATGTATTGGTTTGTCAATGTTATCAGCAGATGCAAATGTGAAAGGTTGCTTTGTACTGTAGCATATAAATGATAGAATCATTCAAAAGGGGTTTTTGAATTTCCAAATTGAAATATTCCAGTAGACAGAATTTTCAGACTATCTGAATAAATTTGTTTTTCTTGTGGATAAAAAGAACATGGAGCAGCATTCAAACCTATAGTAAAGGAAAGATTTTGGTAAAAGTATCCTGTGTTTTACTTGCTTTAATAGAACCAATAGTTTCTGAGTAAGGATGACTAAATATGATGATCAAATTAATTGGAAAAAAGTTCACAGAGATCAGGAGTTATTATTCTAGACTGAGGATATTTTGTAGGCCTGCTGAGGACGTCATTTGCTGATATACCCTGTTGGTTTTCTTTGCCATGGTGTGTGCATGAAATTTCGGTATGGATTATTTTCTTTTATGATTTTTTCTTTGGTTTTGAAGGCTGATTATTTTTTTCTTTTCCTTTTCTATCTAATGCAGGAACAGACCGGATAGAGGTATCTAACATAGATGGAACCATGAGGACTGTTCTAATATGGGAAAACCTAGACAGACCAAGAGATATTGTGGTGGATCCTGTTGGAAGGTGAGAACTGTCTCTTAAGACTGCATTGATGCAATTCCTGTATGTCATTGCATGTTGGTTCTTCATGACAGTGATATCCCTGAAAGTTTACTGTTATAATTTTTAAAGGTCTGTAGAGTTCATTCTTATCTGCTGATACTTCATAAAACAAAGACTGTATCCTGTATGCCCAATATCCTCAAAAGATTAGTTCAGGGATAGACAATGTTGTATTCTCTAATGTTGAGAATAGACAATAGACAATCCAGTATTGAATTTTGCACCAAACCTGGTCAATGGTCATGATAGCTACAGCTAATAGAGGTGAATGAAAATCTTTTGAAGGGTATGGATCTGCCTGCTTATGAATTAACTATTACAAACAAACATAAATATGTCATAAAGAATAAGGAGGGTGACCATATTAAAGTTATCTGCAGAAAAGGGATGAGTAACATGTAGCTGTTTCGACTAATGTACAAGATGTTGTAAATTACAACTCTGCATTCTGGCTTACTTTTGGCTAACTTGGCTGGAGCTACTGTCATTTACAATTCAACACCATATGAAAAGATGCTGGTATATTTGGCAAATGTAAGCAAATACCTAAGTAGCCACTGCAAAAGTGGAAAGCCTTCGTTGTTTAGGGTTTTCTTTTCTGTTCTGTTCTCTTTCTTTCCTAATTCAGTTAAATAAAAATGGTTAGATGAATAAGGTTTAGCAGTTATACACCATTTTGGGACATTTATATGCAGGTTCATGTACTGGACTGACTGGGGAGCTAACCCAAAGATTGAGCGTGCAGGAATGGATGCCTCCGATCGGTTGGTGATCATCTCTTCCAACTTGACATGGCCCAATGGACTGGCTATTGACTATGAGTCTCAGCGCCTCTATTGGGCAGATGCTGGCATGAAAACAATTGAGTATGCTGGCCTGGATGGCAGTGATAGGAAGGTAAAATAACCAAGTTGAATTGACTTCTGGGAAAGGGTAAATAGGAGTTATACAATGCTTGTTTACAGACACCATACATGTATTCTCTTGGATTCAACATGCCCTGTTCTGATCTTCAGAGGTTCAGTTACTCCTCTAAAGGGACAAAATGAATAACTTTTGAGCAAAGACTAAGACAGTGAAATGTATTGAAAACTGTGCTGCATTGTTGAGACAGGCTTAGACTTCCCCTGATGCCCATGATAATTCTCAGCCAGGTCCCTGAAGGTCCAGCGCCAGTGGTGGGTTTCAAAAATTTTTAGAACCTCTTCTGTAGTTGTGGCCTGCTTTGTGGGAGTGGCTTGCCGGCCATGTGACTGGGTGGGCATGGCTTGCCAGCCATGTGACTGGCTGGGCATGGCCAAC